GAGAGAGAGAGAGCATACGCAGACGGAGAGGAGTCGTCGCCGGAGCACCACTCTTGTCGCCGGAGCCGTCGCCGCCGCTGTCTTCCTCGTAGGCCGTTTGGGGAATTTGGGGGTGAAGTTAGGGATTTGGGGAGGAGGAGCGACGGCAGAACAGGAAGAAGAAGGGCTTGGGTTTTTTTTTTGGACTTTTTGCGACGGTATGATGTAGACCGTCGCAAATAGAAGGCAAAACGGCGCCGTTTGTATTAATCCTTTTTTGCGACGGCAAATTTCCGTCGCAAATGATATATGCCGTCTCAAAAAAAAGGGTTTTCGCGACGGTTTTATTTACCGTCGCTAATACTTCCGCATTTCCGACCCCTCCGCTTGGTTTCATTACCGACGGGTCAGTACCGTCGCTAAAGGGTATTATTTGCGACAGGTGCAGTTACCGTCGCAAAAAACCTTTTTTTTGCGACGGGAGGCGCGGCGTCGCTAAAAATCCGTGGTTTTTGCTATATTTTCTTGTAGTGGGAGCATCTTTGGATTTGATTTTTTTTTTTTTTTATAAATTGTTGAACAAAATGCAAAGCCAAGTTTCACCTAAAAAAAAATGGGCCTTATTTTTTCAGAATAAAAAAATGGTGATGGTTGCTTTATTTATGCTTGGAGTGAAAAAAAGTATACATATTTTCAGATGTTAAAAAAAAGAGAAAAAAAAAAAATTTAGTGGCATTGCTGTAAATCCAATCTGTAGCCAGAATAAAGTAAAAAATGTATGTAAAGTCTTCGGGTATGTTTGGTTTGTGTTTGAGAGATGTGTTTTAGAGATAAAAAGTACGAAAAGTTGTTTGGTTTGATTTTTTTCAAAAGATGTTTTGGAAAATTATTTTGAGAGAGAGTTTTGGAAAAAGTGATTGATTTGATGTGTGTGAGAGAGAGATTTGTTTGGAAAACTTGTTTGGTTTACAAGTTTTGAGAAATTTTTTTAGAAAAATTTATTTGGTTTCATTATTTTTAAAAACTTATTTGTAGAGAAAATTTCTCAAAAATTTTTCCAAAATTCAAACCAAACGAACCCGAATGTAGCCAGAATAAAGTAAAGTAAAAAATGTAAAAAATGTATGTAAAAGTCCAATCTGTAGCCAGAATAAAGTAAAAAAATGGAAATTTTAATCCGTAAAAGTCTTCCAGTTGGGACTTATAGTATTTGTTTATTATTTTTTGGCATTTATAATTATTAGATTGTAATTTTTTTTTTTGGCACTTCTGTAATTATTTTTTGCCTAAATGTATGTAAATAGAGCATATAATTTTTTAGACTTTTACGGGTTGAATTTTTTATTTTTTTATTTTATTGTGACTGTAGGTTGAATTTTTTTTTTTTTTAAGATGGAAAGGGTTTTTTTTTTCAATTTTATAAATTTTATTGTGCTGCAGATTGTAATTTTTTTTTTAAGCTGGAAGGTTTACAAATTATATTTGAAAGAATTAAATTCATTGCAACTTTTAAACATTCAAAATGATGTAGTTTTAAGCTTAATATTGTGCTAAATGACTTGTTCAAAAACGATGACGTTGTCAAAATTATGTAATTTTATGTAATTTTAAGTGACAGTCGTTATTGTTGTAAGGGACTCACAACAGTATTCTCAATTCGTAATTATAATATTTTTTAAGAAGTTAATCAAGTATTATAAATTTCTTCTTTAAGGAAGTAATAATTTAATTGATACATGAATTATCAGTCAAAGTCAAGATTGTTAAAATTAAGATTTTAAGTAAATTTAGTGAGAGGGTTTCATGAATGGGATGTTGAATTAGATTGAAAAAATTATATACATATATATTTTTTTGGTTAAAGAAGTTTTAAAATTTTACTTTTTATTAAAAATAAGATCAGATAAAAATATGAATTTAGATAATATATACTATTAAAAATAAGGTGAAAATTTTAATAATCTTACTTACATAATTCTACTAACGATCTCAAATAATTCTATAATATACTACTTGTGACTACAGTAATGCTAGGTATCATGAAAAGTCTTTCATGAAAATGGTCATGAAAGATTTGTGACCTTTGGGTTACACTTACAATAAAGCACCACACACTAATCAAGATAATCTAAAGGTCATAAATTTTTCATCATCCTTTTCATGACAAAATTTTCATGATCTCTAACATTTCTCTTGTGACTATTACACTGATCTTAAAACGTTTTGGATTGTTTTAGCAATTTAGATGACACTATTTGGATTGCGACTTTGGTAACCATGGTCAAAACGGAGCAACGAATTGGACAAAAACTACATCAGAAAAGACGATGATATTTTCTACTCCACAATCCTAATCAAACACCTCATGCCATCGTCCCACAGTCCGTAGTCCAAAAAAACGAAACACATACCTCAACTGTCGATCATGCCTTGCAGTGAAACCATCTCAAGCGTTGATCCCACCCATCACTATTCGTCTCTCATTTCCTACTCCATCAAAACCCAAAACCTCAAGCTAGGGAGACTCCTGCACTCACACCTGATCAAAACCGCCCTCTCCCTCAGCATTTTCCTCACCAACCATCTCATACACATGTACTCCAAATGCAACTCCATAGCTTGTGCCCAGAAAGCCTTTGATGATCTCCCAGTCAAGAACACTCACTCATGGAACACCATGATCTCAGCCTACTCTCAAATGGGTCGTTTTGTCATCGCTCACAACCTGTTTGATAAAATTCCTGAACCAAACCTTGTTAGCTATAATTGCCTGATTTCTAGTCTTCGCAATCATGGGTTTTACAGGGAATCAATGAGTGTCTTCAGAAGAATGCAAGAACAGTATAATTTTGTGTTTATGGATGAATTTACGTTTGTGAGCGTTGTGGGTAGTTGTGCTTGCTTGGGTGCACTAGAATTGTTGCGCCAAGTTCATGGAGTGGCCGTGGTGATTGGAATGAAGTTTAATATTGCAGTTTATAATGCTTTAATTGATGCTTATGGGAAATGTGGCAATACGAATAATGCGTTTTTAGTTTTTAATCAGATGGTAGAAAGGGACGTTGTGTCGTGGACTTCCATGGTTGTTGCTTATGCCAAGGCATCTAGATTGGAAGATTCATATTGGGTTTTTAATCAAATGCCAATCAAAAACACGGTTTCTTGGAGTGCTTTAATTGCAGGGTTTGCGCAAAATGGGCGCGGTGATGAAGCTCTGGATCTTTTTGTGCAGATGCAAGAAGAGGGCATCTTCCAACCTAATGCTTTCACATATGTTAGTGTTCTAAGTGCTTGCGCTGATCTTGCACTTCATGATAGAGGGAAACTACTTCATGGATGCATTATTAGGAGAATTAATGATGAGAGCAAAAAATTTAACGTGTTTCTGTTCAATGCTTTGATTGACATGTACTGCAAGTGCGGAGATATGAAATCTGCTAGGACAGTATTCGAGGGGATGCCTGAAAATGATATTGTTTCTTGGAACTCGCTAATAACTGGATTTGCTCAAAATGGGAATGGGAATGAATCACTTGCTCTATTTAAAAGGATGACAGAAGCAAGCGTAAAACCCAATCATGTTACGTTTCTTGGGGTGTTATCTGCTTGTAGTCATACAGGTCTGTTACACGAAGGACTCCAAATTCTGGACTCAATAGTAAAGGATTATGATGTAATACCAAGATCAAATCACTATACAATCTTGATTGATTTACTTGGGAGGAAAAACAGGCTCATGGAAGCAATTGAGTTGATTGACAGAGCTCCTAATTACAATGAATTAAATCGTGTTGGGATGTGGGGTGCACTTTTGGGTGCTTGTCGGATCCATGGCAATTTGGACCTCGCTTGTAGGGCAAGTGCAGCTTTGTTTGAGTTGGAACCTCAAAATGCTGGAAGACATGTCATGTTATCCAACATCTATGCTGCTGCTGGCAAATGGGATGATGCTCGACAAGTTAGAGCACAAATGGAGAAAGAGGGTTTGATGAAAGAAGTAGCATATAGTTGGGTTGAGGTGAGGAATTCAAGACATCAGTTTGTTGCCAAAGACAAGTTTCATTGGGAGATGGAAGAAATATGTGATTTACTTGACAAACTAGCAGATCAGATGAAGGATGCTGGATATCTATCCTATGATCTGATTGAATGAATGTTGTTCATACTCTTTAGTTCACTTACCTTGTCTGCATCAAACTTTCTGGTGAAACTAGAAGATACTGATAAAAATTTGAAAAAAATTTACTGGGAATTCCTCCAAAGGTAAAATTACTTTTCTCATAGTGAATGCGTTGTGGCATGGGCTATCAAAGAAATTCTCTTTCCGCGGAAGTGTGTAGGCTGTTTGCCTACCTTCACTTTTCGCAAAGAAAAACTAAGAATATTGAACAAGTGGAATTTGGTAAGCAGTGAACCCAAGGGAAGTGGACTCCCCTATTTGTACACTAATGCTGTGTTTAGTTGGGAGATTTGGGGAGAGATTTGGAAAGAGAAATGGAAAAGGTAGGTGGAATGTGAAATATTTCACCTAGTTTCACACACCTTTTCCATTTCCCTTTCCAAATTCTTTTCCAAATACCCTAACCATGCACAGCATAAAGCATTTCCAACCAAAATTTTAAAATTGGAGTTGTTACATTTTTTTTTGAAGGTTTGTTTAGTAATTTGGTAATTTAAATTTACTGTTAAACGGCATTCCATTGCTAAATTTATTATTTTATTATATTTATTATTTTAAAATAATAACTTGTCAGATTGGTTTAAGATTGTTTCAGGAGAAAAAAAAAAAAACCACTTCAAGTAAGTTTCACTTATTAAATAATAGAATTGATACTCAAATTTCATATAGGGGAAACAATATTAAATGCTACATAAATATTTGGATGTTTGGTTGATGTTTTTATATATTCTATTTTTTCTCATTTCAATTAATCTTCATTTTTTTTTTTTCTCACTATTGATCAATAAATACAATTTACAAACTAGGTATAAGTAGTGGTGGAGAAAGATGGGTGGGGTGGTTGGAGGACGGGCTGACAATAGTGATGATAGTAAAGGGGTTAGAGAAAAGATTAAAGTGATAAAGAAAGATAATGGGAGATGTGTTGCAGTAAATAAATAAATTAAAGAGAGTAAGGGAAAGAAATATTCTAAAAATTAAAGATAGCACACTTTTGTAATTATTTTTAAAATTTTCACATTTATTGTTAAAAATATTATTTAAATTTAATTTTCCGATACATACTTCAATAATTATTGGAACTATTTTTTTCAAGTTCCATGTGGCTTTTTCCTAAAAAAATCTTGTAAAATTACTGTGACGGAATGGGTCCCAGGCGCCTTTCTGATTATGCTTCCCGCTAAGCCCTGCTTCGCTCTCAGCCGTCCGATGGGAAACGATCACCCGTCTCTCTCTCGCTCTCTCTCTCTCTCATAACACTACTGACAGTTCTGCAGAGGACAAGTGAGCTCCCATCCAATCTAATCCACCGACTTTCTCTCTCTCTCTCTCTCTCTACTTTCCATGTGATTTGTGATTCTGTATATTCTCTCCGTGGAGTTTGGGGAAAACGAAGAAAAGGGGCACTTGGAATACCAGAAGATATCTATCTCTCTCTCTCTCTCTCTCTCTCTCTCTCTCTCTCATTCTGGGTATTCTGCGAACTCCCTTTCTCATCATCTGTTTTCTGTTTTCTACTTTTTGTATAAATCTATGGACCTCCGACACTGAAAGATTGAGGAGTTTCTGATAATGGGTTATGTTCAATCTGCGTTTTCATGGTTACGTCAGGTACGTGCTCTGTTTTGTGCCCAAGTGATTGATTTTCCGAGAAAATTTACGGACTTGGTTCGGTTCAATTGTTCTTTTTGTTGTAGTTTGTTGTGAAATTTGAAGTATTTCTTGCTCTGATTTATGTTATTATGGATCGTGAGGCTTTATTAATCAAGGGTATCTTTGCTTTCAAAAGCAAAAAAGAAGGAAAAAAAAAAGTACTTTGAGAAAGCATTCAAAGGCAAAAATAAGTGTTTTGAAAAGCAGAGGCTTTTGGGTACATTTTAGCTTTGGATTTTTGAAAGATACATATAATTGGGTCTTGAAATGCCTGAGTTTTGTGCTTGACCGTTTGGTTGTTAGAAAATATGCAAGAAAGGAACATATACGAAAAGAAACTACTTTCAAGGTGACGAAAAGAAGAAAAATAAGCTCTAAAGCTTTTGCTTTTTTCTTCTTTTTTTCTTTTTTCACAGGATCCAAACTGAGGGTAAAAGTTTTAAAATTTTGAATCGTGGTTGCTACTCCTGCTTTTTGCTAGTTGGGTTTCTTGTCTTTTTCATAAGTTGTAGCTTTGATACGGACTGGTCTTTTTGCCTTATCTTCATCGCTCAATTCAAATGGATTCTAAGGACCACCCTATTTTCGTTTTCGATTTTCTCTTCGGCATTTTTTTTTTTTTCTTTCATTTGGGTTATTAGAAATTAAAAGAAAGAAAAAAGCATAGACGAAAATAAATTGGTTAAATTTTAAAAATTTTAATCATGATTGCTGCTCTGTTTTGACTAGCTGGGTTCTTGTCCTTTCCTTCAGTTGCAGCTTTGATGAGGACTGGCCATTTTGCCTTATCTTCATTGCCCGATCTTCGTTTTCAATTTGCTCTTTGGATTCTTTTGTTTTTTGTCTACACATTGCAGGCTGCCTTCGCGGCTATCACCAGTTTGAAATTTTTTCAACCATTTAATACCACTAAATATTATAGAAACTTAAGTGTGGATCATAATTCACTAAGATAGGAGGATTGAAATTCAGAAAAGTAAAAAGAATGAAAGGTTTTGCTAGGTGGTTTACCAATTCATAGTCTTTTTATTTATTAGAAGGTAAAGGGAGAGTATACTCAAAGAATCCATGACAATATCTTTATTCTTTAGTATGGGACTGAGTCACATAAATTTGAAATCCTTCTTTTTCCCCCTTTTTTTTTCTCTAATGGATTAAGATGAGAGCTGTCTCCTAAAGTAAACAGAATCACTTTAAGGTAAATATTTGGGGAGTGATTTTAAGAAGTTAAAAAATGTACACCTAACTTAGTTTCTATTAGATGGGGGTCTAGGAGTGAATAATGAATGGTTCATTGAGAGACCCGGAGGGAGGGACGAACCGATAATCACTAAATTGTTATGCAGGGAAGAAGTTGACATTGCGATTGCAAATTGTTTGTGCAGTGGGATTATCTGAATCTAATTGGTAAGTAATATTTAGCCATTAATTGCTAAGCATACTGCAATATTTCTTCTTCCAAACTTATGGGTACAATTGTGTGAATTGTCATCTACCTCTGGTTCTTTGGTCTCCAATGAGGTCTTTAATATATATCATATGCCAGTATTTTTTTTCTAGATGTTCTCTTCTGATTTCAAGAATGAAAGTTTTGGGGTCTTTATTATATATATCATATGCCAGAGTCTTTCTTTTTCTTTTTTTTCTAGATGTTCTCTTTTAATTTCAAGAACGAAAGTTCTATGTGTATATGAAAAGCTAATTCTGTAGTAAATCTGCGGTGGTTTCCCTCTGGAACTCAAAAAGGGCGGGTTTGCTCCAAGCTACTCAAATGTGTGGAAAAGAGATCTCATCAAACATGCCTGTCATTTGGTTCTTCAGTATATTTTGCTTTCTGGTTTCTATCAGAACTCTCGCCACCTCAATTTGTAGTAAACTATAAAATGGAGAGTTGATCGATCGTGTTTATGATGTCCATTGAATGAGTTCTCTGTTCTGTGAATTCCTATAATAACCAATCTAGAGAGTCAACAACCTTGCACATAGGAGCTCTTCCTTAAAAAAAAATTTTGAGTTTCTCATTACCACTTTGGACTCTTCCACTCCTCTCCCTTTATTCCCTGTCTTTATTCATAAATCTTTGTTACTTATTAAAAGGGGTAAAAATGAGGAAAGTGTTAGAATACAAGTACTTTTGAAATTCAAAGACATCAATGAATTTACTCTCTACAGCTCAAACAGATTGCTGGATAAAAGGACGCATCTACTTGCTTTTGTTTTTGCTGTTCACGTATAATAAGGAATCCTGAAAAATCAAAATTGCATTGTGAAGTCCTCTGATTACTATAATGTCTTTGGTTGCACATGTCATCCATGTTCAAAGACATTAATGCGGCTTTTTTTTTTCCCTATCTGTTTTTCTGTTCTTATTTTTGTTTTTTTTTTATCATTTTATTTGGACCATATCAGCTAATGAGGATAATTTTCAATTTTTCATTTTTTACCTCAGAAGGGACTACATGACCATGGATGTGATTGGCTGTTGTCCTTGCAAGCTTTCACAGAACTGAGATGCTACTAAAATTCAAAGTGTTTGAATATGGTATCATTCCATCTGAAATAAAGCTGGAACCCTAGCCACCTTGCAGGCATATCAACTACCATTAAAAGTGTGAAAAAGATTCAAAGCATCAGCAGGCCATTAGAGGAATGGATAGTCCATTTTCGTCCCAAGCAAGTCAAAGTACAAAATTGAGAGACAGGTTGAACAGAGAAAAGCCTAACTTTTCTAATGCCAATCTCAGTTATGACGTAATCAAGAACATGGATGATTATACCCAACCCGCATCTTCAGGGTATCAGCAAAAGCAGCAGATGGAAAGAAAGCCCACTGAGAACGAGGAACTTGTTAAATATATGTCCGATCTGCCAAGTTATTTGGAGAAAGGAGAAAACCCTAAGGAGAAAGCTTTTAATGTTGGAGTCCTTGACTGGCGTTGTTTAGAGAAATGGCAATATAACAATAGACAGATGGATACCTCCTCGTTTTTCGCAACAGAGGGATTGTCAAACCTTTTTAGCAATCAAAGAATGCACCGGAAGACACTACAATCCCATCTGAATGCATCTCCAAAAGAAGGTTATTCTTCTCAAGGTGTTGAACCTGTTGTAGAAAATGTTGGAAAATTTCAAGATCTCAAAGCTGCATCAAGTAAACCCTTAAAGGGACAGCAAAATATCTTCAGAATGTACCAGTCTTTTAGCAAAAACCAATCAGAAATCAAGCCGAAAGAGTGCAAGAGGAAAGACAAAGATCCACGGAATATCGTTGAAATTGAAATTTCTCTGGATTTAAGAAATTGTGGGGCAGCTTCAAGGTCGAAGGGAAAGACAAAGATTCAAGATGGTGAATCTACTAGTGGACCAGAGGAGTTGCAAGAACCGTATTGCGATGTTAATCACAATTACCATGAAAGACGCAAAACAGTAGTTCTGCCAAGGGATGACCTGTCCTGCCATGGTCGAAGATCAACAGAAGCAAGTCGACAGAGCTTTGCAGAGGGATCTTTTCCAAAGGAGCTCTACAATGCATATTCCTATTCTGACTTCCCACACTCATGCCCACTGCTTTGTGAAGATGACAATGCAAACTACTTGCAGATTAAACAACCAAGTTCTGTAGATGGAAAGAATATCCAGTTTTCAGTTGAACGATCACAACCTCCACTTCGTTTTGTGAAAACATCCATCAGACCGTCCTCAGACAAGAACTTCGACGAGAAGTCATCAAAAGTAATGCCTTTAAATTCAACTGTAAGCAAGTCTTCTGGGGGATCAGATCTGAAAAGGGGCATGGGAGAGGCTTCTAAATCAAGCAACCCCCCTCCTACTCGTCGATTTAGCATTGGCCTGGGTAGGATAGGTCGAACTTCCACCTCCAAAGACAGTTCATTAGGACTGCATTTGAACTCTGAACATGTTACAGCTAAATCTGGATCGGAGAAATCTTTGGGTTCTCCTTGCTTGGAAAATTTAAGTAATGATAAACGTAACAATAAAGGTGGATCTCGGTCCAGCCCTTTGAGAAGATTACTGGACCCATTTCTGAAGCCTAAGGACTCTGCTGAGCCATCAGTCAAAGATCCAACATCAACAGTTCAGGCTTGCAAATCATCTACTGCACAGTCCATGAAAGTAAAATTGGATTTGAAAAGTTGCAAGACTGTTAGTGTCGATGATTCACATCGCAACGAGAAACACAGAACATCGACTGTACAAGCCCTTTTGCAAGTAGCCATAAAGAATGGTCTTCCTCTATTTACATTTGCAGTTGGCAACAACAGCGATATCCTAATAGCCACAGTGACAAAAGTTGGTGCTTCAAGAAAGGATGAAAACTGCTGTATTTATACATTCTTCAGTGTTCATGAAGTCAAGAAAAAGAGTGGTTGGATAAATCAGGGGAGCAAAGGTAAAAGTCGTGGTTATGTCCCAAATGTTGTTGCCCGAATGATGGTTAGACACAATTCTGTTGATGAACTTGGCATCAGGGAGTTCATATTGTTTGCGATGGACTCAAGAGAGGCAGAACAGCAAACATCATACCTTAATCCAAATGACGAACTTGCAGCCATTGTTGTCAAGTTTCCCAAAGAGACCCCTACGAGTTTGAACAAAGATGGACATAATGAAGAGAATGGATCTTCTGTTCGGAGTCGAGGCCTTGGCACGACGGTTATATTGCCTTGTGGTGTTCATGGACTGCCAAGTAAAGGAGAGCCTTCACCGTTGATTGAAAGATGGAAATCGGGTGGGATGTGTGATTGTGGAGGTTGGGATATTGGTTGCAGAACAACGGTGCTCGCCAACCAGATTAAACCTAGTAGGAGATCAAGTTCATCCGGAGGTCATCACGTGGCAGATAGATTTGACCTTTTCTCTCAGGTATTATTGTGCTCTTACACAAATCTTCATTAGTTTTTGAATTACGATTGCCAGTTCATTTTTCCGAACTTTCTGTACCTTTTTTCCACAGGGAGAAGTCCTAGATGATAAGCCCGTCTTCAGCTTGTACCCATTCAAAGACAGGATCTTTTCAGTTGAATTCAATTCACCTCTCTCGTTTCTACAAGCATTCTCCATTTGTATAGCGGTTTTAAATGGTAGGAAACCGTACGAGCTTTCAGAATCAAGTTCGCTGTTTGGAGAGAAATCTTTTGAAGAAACCACGTTATTGTTAAATGATGGAATAAAGGCCCCCAACCAAATCCAAGCAGAGTTTCCTGCGGGCGATGCCTCATATCCAACACCTCTTTCCCCTGTTGAGCGAGTCTAGTTTGCATAAGAAAGTAACTGGGCTTGGTGTTGTGCAGTTTTGTATCTTCACATGGCCAAGTAATTCATGGAAACCTGCAATAAAAGGTAACTGCTTTGCTTGATGCATCTGTTTTTTTTTGTCTGTCCTGTATCAGTGCTTGGTTTCTACACGCACAAAATGAATCAAGTGTGAAAATTTCAAAGATAATGACAGTTTTTCGCTGTTTATCCCTTGTGGCTTCAAGAGTTTCACTGGTACTGATGAATTTGTCGTGTCATATCGAAGGGAAAGGGTTGAATCTGTGAGATGATGAGGTTATGCCCATTGTTATCATGGATCATTTTTTACTGTGAATGCCTGCGGTTTGCTTTGATTCCTCCAATTCCTTGGGTTTTGGATTCAATCCCGGTTCCCCCCTCCCTTCCAATAAAAATAAATAAAAAATTCTCACCTGCATGTATAGATCATACGGGGCAATCAAGTACAATTATCAAAGGGAAACACAGGCACCAGCTTGGTATTGTGATAAGAAAGAAACCAATGAGAAATGCTTTTAAAGGCTTACATGACAAATGTGGTTAATTAGGAAGGAAGGCTGTTAGGCTCTTCTCTTCTTTTTTTCAATTGTGAAACAGAGCTCTCAACTGTAGCTCAATAGATAATACAATACAGTTACAAATTTTATTAAACAGATGCTGTAATGAGGTATAAATAGAAGCTTGTTGAGAGAGAAGATGGTGTGAAAATTTGTAAATGTGTTTTCTTTTCAAAAAATGGAATTGTGCTAGAGCTTCTTTTTTTTTGTTCTTCTCAAATTTGTAATTATTGTTAGCTGAGGTTGTAACTTTTTGTTGACAGCTAGAGGCTAGTGTGGCTACTTCAAGGGTAGCGACTCAAGATTTGTTAAAGACCTAAAAATATAAAAATAAGGCTTTATTTTATTAATACTTTAAAATTTTTGGACCTTCAATAATAAGAATTTGTTAAAGATTTTCTTGGAAACGTTAGGGGTGACACACAAAGATCAGTATTTTTTTTCATTACCTGTTCGAGTTTCTGGATCATCTTTCCTTTATTCTCATCTTCCTATCCCTCAACTACCCTCAAAAAAAATAAAAAATAAAAATAAAACTGAGCTGGCACGTGAGCCGAAAGATGCCTATTAGGATAATGGGTATTTTTGTAATGTTTTCAATGGGTGTATGGAACGTGTAACTGGAGGAGACAACACTCGCATGTCTCTATATATATATATATATATATATAGAGTGATTATTCAGTACTCCGGGAGTATGGATACGTGGTGTTCCGTAATATTTTGATTGGTGGGCAGATGCAAGGGCCTATGATTTATATTGGGGATAGGAGAACAACATGAGGTTAAGTAATTGGTGATTGATTTGAAGTATGGACACGTGATGATCCGAGATTATTGAATAATTTTCCATATACATATACATATATATTATTAGTACCCTCCATCTTGTGTACAATAACACCTCCTGTAGGCCCTGGGCTGGGCTGGGGTGCCCTACCAAACTCAAAATAACGATTTTAGAAAGTGGGAATTTGATTGGGTTAATATCCACATGCATTTTGTTTACTTTGTGGCTGTTTTGGTAGACCAAAATTTTGGATTTATGGTTTCTCTGTCAGCAAATGTTTGGAACAATGATATTTTATTAGTAATTGCTAGCACCAAAAAAGAGAATTTGGTGATCTGGTAGCACATGCATGAGAAAAAGAAGAAGAAAAAAAAAAAAAAAAAAAAAAGTTGATTATCGCATTTACATTTACCAAATTCTAATTGATGACAAGGGCAAAGCCGGTGTGGCTCAGTCATAAAAACTAGAGCGTTTGTTACATAAGTGTACATACACACAAAAATTAAGAAAAAATAAGTCCAAACAGTAGTCAATACATTCATCCTGAATGAACCCACACTCCATCATGAAATTATTTATTTATTTTTATTATAGTGGGAAATTCAATGGTTAAGAGATCAAAAAGAGGAGAAGGTTTATTAATTTGATAATAATAATCATAATAATATAGGACCAACGCACTAAGAGAATAGAGAGAGTCTCATTCACGTCAACAATTATATTTTTAAACTATACTATACTTTTTATCTTCTTTTTCATTATAATATTTATATAATTGATCTCATCACTAATGTAAATATCTTCATTGCAACACTAAGAACTAAATTGACATTACACTTTGTTGGCATACTTCAAATAATATTGTACAAACACAACATACTTCTTTCCTGATTAAAACTATGGAATCCTTCTCAGATCCATTATATTGTTTTGACCAATGAAAAAATTGTGAACAAAATAGTTTTCATAGAGAAGGGGTCCTAAAAAGATGCACATACACTACAAAAATTTTACTATATTTACACACATGGGCTGTATACAGCTAGTGTTACCTGTCCATATGGTTTTTTTTTTTTTTTTGCCCAAGGGAAGAGACAGCAGAGTGTGGTTTAAGACACTACTGTATACATTGGGTGCATGCATTCGAATCTTGATGATGATAGCATTGAGGAGGACCATACATCATATACATGTTTTGAGTCAATGAGGTTTCAGTGTGTTTTAGGACCTTTTGGTGATTAAGAGAGAGAAAGATGTTGGGTTCAATTGGCGCGGGTTGGAAAAGTTGTTGGTCAAGAAAGAGATGACACTGAAAGTTATGACATTTAGGCTTTAATTATGAGTTTTTTCTCCATCATTTTCAGGCATATATACTAATATAATATTTATCTTTCAGATGGGACCTTTGGTCCACGGCAGGCTTTTAATCTTAATTAGAAAGTGCCGGACCTAGTTCATCATGTGCACTGATGCTTAAATTTTAGAATGGCACATTTCCCCCTCTCTCTTCTTTTTTTCTCTCTCCTCTTTTTATTACGAGGATTCGAATTTTCTTAGATTCATAATAAGAATGGAAGGGAGCTATGTGGATATAATTTTTGAATAACAATATGTGGTTGAGGTGTTACCAAAGTGCCGGTCGAGGTGCCATGTGCCTTGGTCATGACACCGAGATCATCTCGGCTAGGCTGAGGTTATCTGGGAAGATACCGGAATCCGAGATAAACAGATGAGGGACAAGAGTCCTAGAATGAGAGAAGATTTCAGTTTGGGTAAAGATAAGACTCTTAGAGAGTTTATCCTAATCCTACTAGGAGTCCAAGATTGGCAGTAATCCTAAGTCCATTAGAGCTAGGCTTCTATTGGGAATAGGATTGTGTTGGCTATAAAAGGAAGGCACTCTCATGGGTCTCATGTATGTTTTTTAGATTCTGAATAGTGAGTTAAGCTCTTTTGCTATCTTTGAGAGATAACTGACTTGATTGTCGGAGTGCCCCCGGGTGGACGAACCACCACCGGAATCTCTTCTTTCTGTTATAGGTCGTTCGGGCTTATCCTATTCTGCCAGTGCTCTCCAGTTGAATACTGAGTTGGCAGTGTGGTCAGAAATTCACTCATACAATTTGGCGCCGTCTGTGGAAAAGAAAGAAGAATAGATGGTCAACGACGGATAGAAAGAGAAGGTTGGGGACGACACTCCTAATGGGAGTAGGAAACCTATAGACCTTGACACCGAAGAAGACAACTACAACAAAGAGACTCACGATAAGAATCACGAAGGAAAAGACGTCGCCCGGGAGAGCGACGTACCAAAGAAAACGGATCGGAGCGGGTATTACAACGAGGACGACCTCCAGGTATAGAAAGAAAGATGCCCACGGAGGGACGATGAGGTAAAGGCCATGGTGAACAAATTGGTAGACCTAAAAACATCGGTCAATTTCATGATGCAGAATAACGTCATGCAGCCACCGTTCCCACTACAAGATACGCCGATTCCAGCAACAAAGGAGGATGCCCGAAAAGAGGGGCAGAAAACAGTCCCTACAATCCCCCAGCACTCCAGGATCGAAAAACAATGTCACCAGCCTTCAAAGGAGGTCGGGCGAGGAGAGTCAAAAAGGGAAGAATCGAGAAGGACGCATCGCACCAAAGAAGCTGACCCCAAAGAATATCGGCATGTTCAAAGGCAAGAGTTGTACTTCGACGCAACCAATTGAGGGAAGTCCAAAAGGATCCATAATGAAACTGGAAGTAGTGCACCGAAAAGGCTAAAGTCAGGAGATAGCCGAACTCTTGGACGGACCAAAGAGGATCTGAGGGATCACCTATAGAGGAAGCAACAAGATGCCGAGGTAACCTCCTCGGTCAAGCCGAGAACGCCGTTCTCGGTAGAATTGGACAAATTCGAAGCCCCGAAGAGGTTTAGCATGCCGAGATTCGAGATCTACGACGGTAAGTCAGACCCTAACTTTCACGTCGGCTTGTACCTGAACTCAATGTATAGCGATCCCGGTTGTCCCTTTACTGTTTTGTTGTATTCCGGACTCGGTTCCGTGATGTTAGTAGTGGTACACCTTGTTGTCGTCCCTTAATTCCGCTTGATTGAGTTTTAGGATGTTTTGGGCAGGGTTATTACAGGTTGGTTAGGCCTTGGTTTCAATTCCTTGTTGCCCAGTTTTTAGGCGTTCCGCTCGAGCGGGTCTTCTTGCGCTCGAGCGAGGATTGCACACCCCCAGTATTTCGTGTCCCTGCAAAACTTCTGCAGGTATGATTTTTACGCTCGAGCGGTAGCGCTCGAGCGGGTTTGTTGGCTCTCGAGCGGGTAGTACCTTTTTGGTGTAAGTTCTGGGAAGGGGAAATCTACGCTCGAGCGAACTGGTTTTCGTGCTCTAGCAGATGTGCTTTATTCTTGTGTCTTGGCGCTCGAATGGGCCTTCTTGCGCTCGAGCGTGTTCAGATTTTGTTCTTGACGCTCGAGCGTTGTGTTCTCCGCTCGAGCGGGAATGTCGTATATCAATTGGCAGCTGGGCATTTTAAAATCACTTTTTGCATTCTCTCTCTCTCTCTTACTTTTCCAAAAAGCCATTTGAGAGCTCCTCTCTCTAAAACCATAACTTCTCTCTAAGTATTGATCTAGCTAGGGTGTTCTCCTCACCTTTGGCCTTTACAAAAAGGTTGTTGATCGTCGAGGGCTATCTTTTGATCCGAGGAACTCGTGGTTTGGAGCAACTTCATTTTCGTCATCTTCTCCTTTGGGTGTCATCCTTTGAGGTAGGGATTCCTACTCACAACTATGGGTTTTGACCTAGATATTTGGGTATTTCGTAAAATGGTTGATTTTGGGAAGTTAGGGTTTGAAAATGTTAAAAAGGGGTTTTGTTATTTTGATTCAAAAATATGTATTTTGGGTTTCAAAATAATGATTTTGTTGTTGGTTGTTGATATATAGGCCATTGGGTCAATATTGGGAAATGGGGTAGAAAACCCTAATTTG